TAATCAGAAAAGTGTCGTTATTAAGATATTTGCGGTTAAATTGTTTGAAAGAGCTCAATGTGTAGACCTCAATCTGATTCTTGACTCTCTCATAGTGCCCGTTAAGACGGTTGACGCTGGAGTCTCTAGCCTTCATAAGGAAACAGGCTACCTCCAGCTTCAGTTATACACAATGTGCGCATCAAAGCGCATTGTGCTGCCAATCGAGCTACTCATGTCTGGCCCTTCGATTAAGTTAGGAATCGATTAAACACCATCGATTGCCTGAACCATGTGCACTCCTGACATCTTCCACAGCGGCATTACCCTAACAACAATCTACAAAAGGACACAAAGTGGGATGCTTGCTAGAGCACTTTTTGAGAGCTCGACATTAGGAGTCAAGACCGACCTCAAACCCCAGCAGGACATCAGTCATTAAGGCGATGTCAAAAAGGAAATGAATGAGTTCTCAACGTCGAGTTCCCAACTCAAATAACACCTGATGCATGAGTTTTATCCATTCACCGGTCTCATCGCTCCGTGTAACGAGATAGGATGGTCATAGAAATCCCTACAAATATCTCTAAAAAATTAACAGGGATTCTGATTTACTCAGACTGTTGCGGAGAAGCGCTAAAAGGAGTGCAAATATAAAGAGGGGTTTAGAAACCACCCCGTGTTGCAAGCTAGTATGAATCGAAGCGCTCCTGAAACAACATACCACCCACAGATAAATTTGCACCAAATTCGACAAAAGGTACGCTACATGCCATGTTGGCTTGATAAAATATTCACGATAACATTTTCATCTTACAAACAGAAGTTGTTTCATAACATTGGAATACACTCGCAAAAGGACGAAGGCTGCATAACGATGGGAGAGCTGCGAACTATACAGTAAAACTCTAGAGTGGTTATATTCAACAGCCTTCGCCATTTCATCCATATTCCGAGTTCAACACCAGACAGTTCTCCATCAAACAGGCCAACCCATGACAAAAGTCTTGGTTTATATTGTAGATACGTGGTACATTGAAACAGCAATATAGAGATGGTATAATGTTGTCTACCTAGGGGTTAATTTATACCAGTTTGGGAGGAAAATATGACGTTGCAATTTGAGAAAGTTGGCACGCTCGGTATCCCAGGAGTTAGCAGTCTTCTTGAG